AAACTGCCGGGTCGCATGCGCTCCCGTTCGCATCGCCCAGGATGGCTGTCTTGCTGCAGTCCGCCTCTGCAGCTGCGCCCAGCATCAGAAATTGAAATCCCAAGTCTGTCAGCCCAGCCTCATGGAACAGCACGCTGCCGGGTCGCCACGTGAGGCATTGCAAACAATAAGAACATCCTGACGGAACGAGAGGAAAAAAAAAGGACCAAAGACACAATTGAAGGCGTTTCTTTCGGACTTCTCGTTTGCCACTCTTCTCTCTGTACCACCGTGTACGAGTGCGGCAGGACCCTCAACATAATAGACGCACTATTAATCGGCTCACTGCATCAAGATCTAAAGCCGTTCTGGAAGGGGGTTGTCAACCGTCAACAGTCATTAGTCTCTGTCTCTATGCTACAGGGTATATATAGTCATGTCTACTCTATGTTGCTTGAGGGTCCCTTTCTGACTAAGGTCTAGTCACGTCTTGGAAGGCAAACTTCCCCAATTTGGTCCTTCCCAAGGTCAGTGGATCAACTGTGGATCCCCGTAGTGGCTTTTGGAGGTACAGTACACGGCATAGAGCTTGCTTTAACAACATGCTTCAATTCACAACTTCAATCAAATTTGGGAGGGTAAAGGCAGCTCAAAATGTTCAACGTATACCTTGGGCTGTCCCTCAAGGAGGACGACACAAACCACAACTCTCTTCACAAATGGTGCGTGGAACAATTCCTAAACCGAGGATTTCAAAAGTTAATCGCGCTCTTGTCGCCTTCCTGCTGTGTTTCAAGATTCTGTTCAAGGACAATTCTTTCCATCCAGGGCACGTGCTGCACTCCAGGAGGCAAATGCAAGAAGAGGCCCGGCTTCCTAGTCCAGTCATGGTCGAAATAACCTACCTAATCCTTCATGTAATCTGCCATGCTATCCTGTTCCAAGCACCCTGGGGGCTCGAACATGCTCCTACTAGCTTCTGAGGTAGGAGGTGGGGCCGCTGCTTAAAACCACAATCTGATTGAAACACACACACACACATATATTATATATATATATATATCAGTGTCATTCAGTGTCTTTCACCACCAACATGGCATGGAACTCTTGGAGCAGCACAACCAGAACATATTATACCTACTATTATACCTTTCCTGACTTAATATTGGAACTTGGTCTATCCTGGCCCCATATGCTTTGTTTCTTCACGGTGTCTCCGGCCAGTCCCAGCGGCGCGGCGACTTCCCGGCGCCGCCACTCGCGGTCGCTGCCCCGTTCGGTGATCGCAAAGCGCCCGGCGCCGCTGAGGACGTAGAAAACCTCGAACATGTCTTCGTGGTCGTGATCCTGCGAAAGCTCTTTCTGAGCAAAGCTAAGAAAACCCTCTTGAACCTCTTAGCTTTGACTTGTTGAGAGAAACAATGACAAAACTTGAGGTTTGGGGGGGTCCATGGATCGCGTGCCGCTCTTGGTGCTGGGCCAAGTCAACCACTAGGTGGGGCGGTGCGGCGAGACCCACGCTCCGTGGATGTTCCTCGAAGTAGGTTTCGGCTTTGAACTCCGCCAGGCTCACTTGCGTGAGGGGGGGCCACTTCGCCCTTCCGAATGAAGACCTGAAGACTCGGACCATGGTGCCGGGAAGGTCAAAGGAAGGGTGACGAACCGCTGGACATCGAAAGGCGCGGAGCATTATGGAGCATTTAAACGAAAAAATGGTGGGCCGCCGTTCAATGTGGGTTTCTGACACAAATCTGCTGCACACTTCGATCATGCACTGAGATTCCCACAGCGAAGTGGCAACTGAATTCAAAAGTAGGCACCGTAGCGCCGTAGACTCTACAGCCGCTAGCCTTTTGAATGAGTGGATTGTAGCCGGGTCCATCTTGGGCGGCAATTGAGGGATAGTCAACGTGCCTTCTTCTCGTTGGTGTAGGGCTCATGATTGATCTTGAAGGCTTCTGCCTGATCCCAGCCTAAGAGTCGTTCCAAAGGGCCCAGCTGGATGACCAGCGGAACCAAACCGGCAAACTTGGGTGAGTTACACAATATCTATATATAATACATATACATATACAGTATATATATATATATATTGCGACTGGCAATTGCCCTCTCAGGTGGGTATACCGAAGTACGATTTGCTTTGCTCTTGAAGGTTCCAAATTGACAACCCTTTCCCGTAGAATCCCGCAAAACGCTTGTGTCACCTCATATGGTGAAATTTCCTCCCTCCAAATCTGTTTATATGTGTTTTGAAAAATGGGTGATAATTGACCGCCCACACTAGCCACGCGAAACAGAATTTTAAATTCGACCGTGGCTACTCCTTAGATGTTATAGACCCAGAAAGAAGAAAAGGCTTTTCCTCCTGGAGTATAATATACATCCCCTCGAGATCATTCATGAACAACCCGCTGCCATCAAATCTACTGTACTGCAAATAAATACTGTTGTTTGTAGTGTTTTGGTTTACCTTGCCCTTATTGTACGCGCACCGAGGCCACCCAAAGCACTTTTCAAGGACTCACTCTGAAGCCACCCAAACTACTTTCCCAACTCTGCTCCTTCTCAACAGTCCGAATCTTTCCAGGTTGCTGGTCACCCGCGCCTCACGTACGCAAGGGAATCGCTGGTGCCGTCCATCCTGCAAGCCCTCGTTCTCATTGCGTGTGAGCACTGCATCCCCACGCGCTCCCAGGACGACCGCAAAAGCCAAGAGGTACCACAGCAAGTCAGCCATGTGAAGCGCGGTTATCCCCCACTTTTTGCAGAGGCTGTGCACATCTTTTTCTGTAACTTTCAGGAAACAACTACCCTTAGAACAAATAAGGTTGTTTGGGCATCACCCCAACAACCAAGTTGTAGATGTGGGTAGGTTGCCGAATAGGGAAGGAAATGTCTATGACTCTATGACTGCACGGGATTCAGCGGGATGAGATTAAGCTGGTGGTGCACTACAGTATATAATTCCAGTAAATACAGCCATGCCAAGGTCTAGTCGACGATTAAGGCAAAGCCCGTACCATCTAATGATATCCAATTGGGTAAAACCACATAATTATGCCACATGATATGTTGATTCGATGGTGATCCATCTCAGTAAAAGCAAAAGCTGCACTGGAAAAACGCACGAAGCATGGCGTGACTCGGCCGCTGACTCGGCCAAACGCTTGAAGACTCTGGGCCCCCCCAAGTGTACATAGGGATCGGTCGTAGCAGGTGGGTCCCTCCACGGAAAGGGTTCCACCAGAGAGTTCTTTGTGGTTTGGAGAGGCCCTGATGCCTTGCTACAGTTTTCAGGTTACAACAAACATTGAGGTGAACACTGAAAAAAGGACCTCCTGCAGTTTCTGTCCATGGACATGAAAAGCAATCTTTTGATGTCACGAAGAGCAAACCCAAAGCATGGATGGTCGGGGGTGGGTAGGTACAAAGGTACCAGGGAAAATGATGGCAACAAACACCACAATGAACAAAAAGTGATGGGAATTAGCAGCTTGGTATGCCGAACTTCTTTCAGGACATCAACAATACGCCGCAATGGTTCAATATCTCAACCTTATGCTGACCGAAAGTGGATAACTAAGCTGTCCAGTCCGCCCTCCTAGTTCCATGGTAATCGACATATTGAGAGACCTCATATGGCATTCATTGTTCTTTCACCATCCCACTTCAAATGCGGTAGATTCCAAGTAGATTCCGCATGGCCCGTTCACTTTTGGCAGCACCTACAGACCTACGGCAAAATCCCTCCGCATGGTGGGGATGAGAGGCTGACTTGCTCAGTTTCCCTGGAAAAATCACCGTTGACCACTATCCACCTGTTGGATTTGAGTGGGGAAGCCAACCCCCAAGCAAGGTTAAAGGTTGTCCACTGACTGGAAGTGACGGCATCGTCCCAGGCCCCGTGCCATCGTGACGAAGCGCTGCATGCCCTGACAGGCGTGAGCAAAGCACAACAGTTTGTCTGGGACAGGCACTGACTTAATATGGACTCTTGATTCGATTTCAACATACTTCAACCCCCCATGTGAAAAGGTGTTTCAATCGAAATGGGGGGCATTTACTAATCAAGAGTCTACATTAGTGGATTGCAGCTCTTGTTCCAAGTCATATGATCACAATATCAATATACCGCAGTCTGCTCTCCAGTCGAACTGGCCAGTTCGTCCCAACAGCTTGCTGGATCCATCAATGAACAACTTGAAACTCCTGGGGCGTGAGCCTACACACGTATATACTGTATATATATATATACACACTTCATGCAGCTGTTGGACGTGCCAAAAGCCTAACATTAACATATATATATATATTATGTATATATATGCATATATATATATATAAACTTTAAACATGGACAATCCATGACAAACCTAACAGACCTAACATACAAGGTGCAAGCATCGTCATCCAAGCTGTTGAATGCGTGAATGAGTCTCTGTGTGACTAATCCTGCAAGTGCAGCTTCCCACATCGTTTTGCAACCTCTGATGCCAACGTTCTTAACCAAGCCTAAGCAATACTTACAGTAAGGATCTCGTTCTGGAATGATGGGCCTGCTCCAGAAAGTCAGGCTAGAACGAAGCCAACTTCATGATTCCACATGATTCCAATAATTCGACTTAGGCAAACGAACAAATCACCCACTGTATAGCAGTCTAGCAGTCTGTAGTGCTGTTCTTTTTGCGGGGGTTCGTGTCCTCGCCTTTCAACAGCTAGAATCGCTAGAACAATATGTATGAAGCATTCACTCAACCTGAAACCAAGCAAGAGCTGTCGACTGAAGGAAGTCACATTCTCTCAATATGTTTTCCATCGTGGTTCCTGTCGGGCCAGTTTCTGGCCCGGCAGATGGGTTTTGTGGCCTTTGCTACCATGATACCTTACAGTACCTGGGTAGCAGCGAAAAGGACCAAGAAGAAAATCAAACGAATGCGAGGAGCTCCGCAGTTGCAGAAACCGATGGCGCACTCTTCATGATGTCATGATGTCACCAGCGGCAGGTCTACCATGATACCTTAAGGTACCTGGGTAGCAGCAAAAAGGAACAACAAGAAAAAACAAGAATGTCTGGCGTCAACACTTGCTGAAGCCGACTCTGAAGTCGATGGTGCACCGGACATAATGTCATTTGCGGCACGTTGGCCTGACTGATACGCTCCATGAACAGTGGCCGCCCACACAGGGCTGGTGTGCTCTCCAGCAAAGGTGAGTGAAGCGCTGACTGCCTGACGGAGAAGCCGCAACTCGTTCATTTCCATGTTGATGCCTGAATCTGTGGTATAACCTCCCCTTGCAAATGGGTCAGAGCCCCACTTTGTTCGAATGAAGTGTGTTGGGTCGGGAGCACTTGGAAATTGCTGACGGATTCTGGACATGAAATCGGCCTGCACTTCTGCATCCGTCTTCTGTTCAGAAGCAATGGCATATCTCCCAACGGCAAAACCCGTCAAGGCATTCTTCCCTGGCCACAAGCGATTGGTGTTCATGAAGTATGGGAACATGCCGCGCGAGTCGATGGTGGCATTCTGCTTGTTGATGGCGAGCATGAGTTCGTTGTTGCATCCGGCAGACCAAAAGTCAGTGCCAAAAACTGCCACGGCTTTGTTCACAACACCAAACTGCATCCGTGCAATGGCAGCAGTGTATGAGGCAGGAAGAGATGGGGAAAAAGTGATTGCATTGGCTTGCAGCACACCCAATGGCACAGCCACAACTACAGCATTGGCCGTGTAGTCAGCCGTTGCCGAGCCACCGGTTTGGATAGTTTTCACAGTCGCAGTGCAGGATGCGCGCTCTCCTCCCTGGCTGAAACCCATGCAGTAGTTGACCTGGGTTACTGTGGCACTCGTCACAACTGTGCCACCTGCAGCTTGAAATTGTGCCGTTAAGTTGTCAGTCAAGGTGTTGTAGCCGTCAAGGAATATAAGTTCCGGTCCACCAGTTTCCTTGGAGGGGCACAAACCCGCGTCATCAGAATTTGTTGGGAACGTTGCTATGTAAATGAGCACAAAACTGACAAGGACAAACAATTAATTCAATTTATTCAAAAAGTCTGCAATTTCACTGTAATAGATGTTCGCGACGCTGACTTTGTCAATTGTAGAGCCTTGATTGAAATCACGGGTGGCCAAACACATCTCTCCCTCCACGGTGTTGAAAAAGGCTGGATCGTAGTCCCTTTCAGGGTTCAAATTGTGCAATGAGACAATCAACTAATCAGTCTCAACACTTCATTCCACATTCTCAGAAAGGAAGAAAACAAAGTAAGGAAAAAAGAACGTAACATCTATAGAATCTACAGTAAGGCCAATGTAGAAAAACACAATATTGATATTATGTATATATACACCTACCATAAAAAACCCTAAGGCAGGACAATGTATTGACAATCATGACAAAGACTGCCTGGCATGTGCATATACAATGTTCTGACAATTTTTCTGGCATGAGTTCTGGTGTGTCTTTCGGCTCATCCAACATTAAAGGCTGGAACGTTCTGGAATGCCTTCTGGCACGTTCTGTCATTCTTCCTGGAAAGTTTTCGGACCATTGTCCTGCCGTTAGGCTGACATGTGTTCTGGCATGTTCTTCTGCACTTGCACATGCGCTCTCGCACCTGGCATGTGAATACCCCCACCCCAGGGACCTCATTGTAGACCCCAAAACTGGGGGTCTTTTATGGTTTTCCTAGGGAGCCTACGTAGGCAACAGCAAAGGTTCTAGACCCCCCCCTAGGACCGCGTAGTGGGGTCTTAAATGGTGTCCTTCACCACATGTAAACTGCTCAAACCAACTTCAAACCGCCCTTATGGATCCTTGTGGGTCCTGGTTAGGACTCCCAACTCGTCAAGCACCACCAAACTCCGGCTCAAGTCAGGAGTCATCCTTATAAGCATCGCTAGTCGGTCTAGCTGCAGTGACCTGCCTGACCTATCCTGACCTCACAAAAACAAGTTTCGCGCTCGGTTGGGATGAGCTCTCCAACTCTATTTGACCCACAGGTGACCATACATGTCAAGTGGACACTTCATCCTAACACACCTTCACAAAAACAACCAGCAGCTTTACAAAGGAGAGGCAACACCAGTGAACCAAATGAAAAAGATTTCAATTTTTTGCTGTTTGACAGCGGGTTCAGGCACTAGGGTCTAAAGTATTGTTCCTGGTG